GCGGCCTCTCTGCTCCAGCCCTGCGGCCCCTCTCCTGTTGCACCGCAGCCCCTTCACCTCGGTGGCTACCGCAGTCCTGCCCCGCAGCTTGACCCCCCCCTTCCCCCGACAGCCTGTCCCACCAGCCCCTAACCCCCTCCCGTGAGGCTCCGGCACAGGGTGCCCACAGAAGCTGTGGCTGCCCCATCCCTGGCAGTGTTCAAGGCCAGGTTGGACACAGGGGCTTGGAGCAACCTGCTCTAGTGGAAGGAGGTGTCCCTGCCCGTGGCAGGGGTTGGAGCTGGAGGAGCTTTAAGATCCCTTCCAACCCAAACCAATCTGGGCTTCTGTGACTTCTCCAGTGCTGACGCACACACACACACACACACACACACCCAGCCACCCCTCCGTGGCAGGTTCTCTGCAGTGGGCACCCCCTGTCCCCCATGGCCTTTTGTTGTGGGGACTGGATGTACCCCCTGAGCGCTGATAGTGGTTGAATTACTTCCAGACAGGCGGTGGTGCTGCCCAGGGACAGGGCAAGGAACTGTTACTCTTGCAGAATACAATAAGAGCTGTTTATAGAGGTAACTCCCCCTGACCGACCTGTGGGGGGGTGGCTGCCCTGGCAGATGCTGCTGTATGAGGGGGGTATTAACGTGTTGGGTCTTCCTGGGGAGCTTGAAGCACCTGAGGTGTAGCAGCAGCACATTTCCCCTCAGAACGTGGGTGCTTGGCAGGGTTTGGTGCATGGTGACGGAGGTATTCCAGTGTTGTTACCCCCCTGTGGGGGGTTCTTGGGTGTTCAGGGTGCTGGTCCTGCTTCACCACATGCTCCTGCTGATCATAGAATCCCAGAGCAGTTTGGGTAGAAGGGACCTTAAAGCTTCTCCAGCTCCAATCCCCTGCCACAGGCAGGGGCACCTTCCACTAGAGCAGGTTGCTCAAAGGCCCTGTGTCCAACCTGGCCTTGAACACTGCCAGGGATGGAGCAGCCACAGCTTCTCTGGGCACCCTGTGCCAGTGCCTCAGCACCCTCACAGGGAAGAAAGATGTGTCTTTGCTGCTTGTTCAGGCTTTGTGTTGTTCTACTCCTTCCAGCTTGGATGAATCATGGTGAGGTTTGGCATGAACTTTGGAGGTGGCCCAAGTAAGAAAGATCTTCTAGAGACTATTGAATCACAGAAGAAGCAGCTGCTTCAGTACCAGGTTCGGCTGAAGGATGTTGTCAGAGCCTACAAGAGTCTGTTCAAGGAGAAGGAGGCCTTGGAAGCCAGCTTGAAAATGTTGTCTGTATCTCACAAGGCAGATGCTGGCTTGAGTGGTGCTCAGCCTATATCTGTGGTCAGCTCCAGCTCTTCCTTTGCCGACTGTGCTGATGACAAGAGCTCTGTTCACAGTGAAGATAGCGTGGGGACAGCTGCCAGTGCAGACACTGCTGCCAGCCTGGCCAGTACCAAGGGTGAAGCAGGGCCTGAGGATGATAAGCTCGTGGCTGCTGCTTCTTCCTCTGTTAAATCAGAGGAGACGAGTGGTTCAGAGAGCGGCATGAGCACGAGCGGTGGGGACGTACCATCTGCTGCCAGTGAGGCTGATAAAAGAGTTCTGCTACTGAAGACCCAACTGGCCACCCTGACCAGTGCTCTGGCAACAGTCACACAGGAGAAGTCCCGCATGGAAGCATCCTACCAAGCAGAAAAGAGGAAGATGAAGCAGGACCTGGATGATGCTGCTAAGAAAGCAGAGGATGAGACTGAGAAGCTGGAGGCAGAGCTGAAGTGTGTCCAGGAGCAGCTGGCTGAGACCAAAGCTCGTCTGATCACCCAGCAGCACGACAGGGCCCAGGAGCAGAGTGACCACGCTATTATGCTGCAGGAGCTGCAGAAGCTGCTGCAGAGTGAGAGGGCTTCACGCCAGGATGCTGAGCTGAAGCTGGAGGAGACCAGGGAGATGCTGGCTCGGAGAGCCTGCGTGGCTGAGCGAGCAGAGGGCTACGAGCTGCAGATCAAGCAGCTGAGCCAGGAGGTGGAGGACCTGAAGAGGGAGCTGCAGGATGCTCAGGAGGAGAACAAGAAGCCAGACCCGCAGATACAGGGTCTGCAGGAGGAGATGGCTAGCCTCAAGAACCACTTCCAAGTGCAGCTGCTGCGGGAGATGAAAAAGGTAGTTCCTTGTATGGGTCCTGGAGCTGCTCACTCTCGGTGTGATTGGGGCCGGTTTGGGGCTTGAGGAGTTGAGATGCCCCCACCCAGTCCCTCAGAGCCCAAGAGGTTTGAATTAGGTGATAATCCTGGAGGAAAATCAAAACTGTTTGTGTTACAGCACATAAGGCATTAACCAGGGGGTGGTGAGCGTTGGACTTGGGAGCACCCTTTGAGGCGGTTACATGGTGTCTGTCCTCCAGGGTGTCGTGTGGTTCTGTACCAGTTACAATCCGGTGTGAGAGTGGCTTGGTAGGAGACACCTTCCCTCTGCCCCAGTGTGGCAGTGAGTGTGGTCTCAGTGCAGTGCAAGGTACAATCAGGGGGGCTCATAAAAACTGACCCCCTTTAGAGAAACTTAGGGGGTTGTAGTGAAAGAAGGAAGGTAAATGCAGGAGAACACTCCCCTTGCATCCATCCACACAGGCTAGAGCCTAAGGGCTAGAATGGAAAGAGGGATGTGGTGGAAAAGAGGAACCTGTGTAACTCAGTGGGTTGTGGGGTGATGGGCTCGGGGGTTGGCACTGGAGCTTTGGGGCCAGTAACTGAATTTGCATCTGGAAACACTCTGGAACAGGATCTTCCTCGTCTCCTTGCACTCTGGGCCAAGTTTTCTTCTTCCTAATCTGAAGCATCAGGCTGGTTTCATGCAGTTTGGGTGAAGGGGACCTGACCTCTGCTTGTGGTTTGGCTCGCGATGGTGTTTGCCAAATGCTGCCATTATCGGAGCGCTCGATATCTGAGCAAAGTGTGAACTGTGTGCGTTTGCTGTAGCTCAGAAACGCCTGAATAACATGAATACCGGTGCAACAAAGCACAGGATGTAACTGAATTGCAGTGAGATGTGTGAGAGCTTCAGAGCACACACACATTTAAAACAATCCCTTTAGCCACTGTGAGGTGAGCTTGCTGCTTCCCATCCCCCCCCCACACCTACAGCAATGTGGGTAATGTAAGACAGGAGCTCTGCAGAGCAGGGAACAAAAGCAAAGGTGCTTTGACTTCATTATACCCGCAAATAAACGTCCAGCTGTTGGGTTGTATGGAATTCTAGGGGAAAGCGCAGCCCCACGCTGGTTTGGAGGTCAGCAGAGCAGAATTAACCCCGGTGTAAAGCAGAGACCTTTGAGCATTGAGCAAAACTAACTGTGCTGTGTGTATGCCTCTGCTCTCAGGCTGCACAGGCAGAGGAGCAGCTCCGCCAGCACGCCCAGATGGAGGAGAGGCGAGTGGCTGACCTGGAAGGCCAGGTCTCGGAGGTGTCGGAACTCCTTGGCAGCTATGAGAAAGCCAAGCAGAAGGACCAGCTGATCATCCAGAAACTGAAGGACCGCATTGTACAGCTGGACCTGGAGAACAAAACCCTGGCCATCGCTGCCTCCAGCCGAGCCCCTGGGGATGCTCACGTGGAAGAAGCCAACCTGGATGTTAATGTTCTGAAGGATAAAATGGAAAAGCTGAAAAAGCTCTTGCAGGCAGCAGCTAAGAAGAGTGAAACCCCTCTGGACATCGAGAAGCTGTGTGAGCTGGAGCCTCCAAAGGGCACTGAGGCTGGGGATGGCGAGAAGGCCACTGCTGTGTACTACCAGCAGGAGCTGAAGCAGCTCAAGGAAGAGTTTGAGAGGTACAAGATGAGGGCACAGGTGGTTCTCAAGAACAAGTCAACCAAAGACATCAACTTGTCTAAGGACCTGGAGGAGGCTCAGGAGCAGCTGGCTGACCTGAAAGAGAAATACGTTGTGCTTCAGCTGGCCTCTGATGAAATGGAGAAGCAGCACCAGCAGGACATGGAAGCCAAGAAGCAAGAGTTGTCCCAGCTGCAGCAGATCCATAGGCAGGAGTTGGAGAGGTGCCAGCTGGACTACAGGGAGCGGGCACTGAAGCTGGAGGAGGAGATGCACAAACAGCGGGACCGAGCCCTGGCAGTGCTGGCAGAAAAGGACCAGGAGCTGGAGCAGCTGAGAGTTGTCCCACTGCCTTATGGGCGTCAAGGGTCCAAAACCTACTTTGTGTCAGATGGTGCTTGCAATGACTCCCCAGGCAGTGATTCCTCAGAGATTCTCCCCCAGGCTCTTCACCTCTCCAGCGCCAGTGAGCCCACCTTCATCTTGTACGCAGAGCAGCTGGCTCGCAAAGAAGTGGACATTGTTGCCCTGAGGAAGCAGAAGCACAAGCTGGAAATGCAAGTTCACCACCTCCAGAAGAGGATCTTGGTTGAGGAGGAAAAGCACCGGGAAGAGGTGTCTGCACTTCAAAGTGAGATGGAGAAGAACTTGAGGGATAAGAGCAGAGAAGGAGCCAACCTGGAGTACCTCAAGAACATTGTGTACCGGTTCCTGACGCTGCCGGACGCGCTGGGGCGGCAGCAGACTCTCACAGCCATCCTCAGCATCCTGCATTTCAGCCCGGAGGAAAAACAGACCATCACAAAGCAGTCAGCTTCCAGCAGCTGGTGGCTGGCTGGCAAGAGATGAGGCTGCAGCTTTTGTTCCAGACTGCTTTTGCACGGGGACATGTCCTTGATGGTTAAGTGAGACCACTTCACTCAGGGTGTAACCTCCTTCCCACCATGCGATGGAGCAGGGAGCTCTCAGCAAAGAACTGTGCTTCAGCCAGTGCTTGTAGCCCCGGTGTGTATTTGAGTCGTGGGATCACAGCGCTCTCTGGTGTGAGGATTTGCTCTGAGTTGGACCTTGATGAAATAATAAATAAAATTGAAGCTACTGATGCTTTTTCAACCACAGTCTAAAAAGAATCACCCTGCAGGCGGAGGGTGAGGAGCTCCATTAGAGCTTCAACACCAGACAGACTTGTGACTCAAAGGATTTAAGGGAGGGGGAAGCACTTAGTGCTAAAATAACATAAGACAAAGAGCTGGAAGCCCACAGGAAGATGAGTCTTGATACCAGCATCATCCAAATGCAGACACTTGAGCAGTTTCTCATAAGGTTTTATTTTTGACCTAGAGCCAGATTTATACCAGCGAATCTGTAGCAGCTCTTCATAGCACTGGAGACCATTTCTGGATCCTTTGCAGTCATCAGTGTGCTCAGGAAAGAGAAAATACCTGAAATATGTAAGTTTGAACCTTTGTAACTGCAGTGGTGCAAGTGGTGACTTCCCCACTAGTGTCCAACCAGAAGGTGCTCTGTAGCAGTTACTGCGGAGCAGGTATCTGAACCTTCTGGCCTGGCTCCCCATGGGACCCAGGGGATTACAGGAGGCAGAGGCAAGGCTGAACTAAACCCACTGAGCATTCAGTGGTCATTTCCTGAGTATCTGGGAGTTTCAGTGAAGTTGTGATGCTCTGCGGTGCTGGTTTTAGAAGCAAGGCATTGCTCCTGCTGGGATAGAAGCAGCGAGGGGCAGAAGATAACAGTGTGTGCCCTGAGCTTGCAGTAAACCCCACGAGGAGGAAGGTGTGCCCTGTTGCTGCGTGGACCCTGAAGTTCTTGCCTCGCTTCCTTACAAATGGGTGAGAGTGGCAGGAAGGAAGCAGAAACCTCTGGAAACACCTCTGGCTTTTGTATTCCTGTGTTTTGGAGCTGTGCTTGCAGCTTTGAAGAGGTGTCATTGAATGTTCATGGCTTGTGTGAGAGGGTCGGGGGGAGCTGCAGCGTGCAACTATGAGCATGCTGGGGGCTGGAGGAACAGGCTGGATCCCTGGGGGTCTCCACAACAGGTCCCCTGGGTGCTGCAGCCACTAGAGGGGAGCCACCAGTTGCTCAGACCCTGGGGACAGGGGTACCTCAGAGGTACAGCATCCCTCAGCACTGCCAGGACTTGCTCCCCTGGAATGGGACCTGGCTCTGATACATGACACACCAGGACAGGTCCATGTGTCAGGGGACAGCACTGGAGCTCAGATGGGCTCTGCAGGTGGGAGAGGTTCTGTGCAGGCAGCAGGGCAGGTTTCTCTGAGCACAGTGGTTGTGCTGCAGTGAGCCGCTCTGAGGTGCGGGGCAGGGTGCCAGTGCTTTGTGCATGAGGGTAAGCAAGGTCAGGAGCAGCAGAACCAGCCCAGCAGCTGTTGCGTGTCCGGTGCTGCCCGTTGGCACGAAGCTATCCACAATGGCCAGGAGCATCTCAGGCAGGGCAGAGGAGCTGTGTTGGCTGCACTGCCTGGAGCAGTGCCCATCAGGAAGTGTTTGTGCTGGGATTTAAATGGTCTCTTCATCCTAGGGAGGATAGTTTGCTTCCCGAGATGTTGGGTGCTCCCCTGGGAAGCACCTATTCCAGCTGTGCTTCCAGAGCTTTACCATCCTTGTAGGCAAAACCTCGCTGGAGTTGTGTTCCCATGCACCTGCTTTGGTTTATAATTAAAGGGTTGGCTCCTAAAGCACAATTCCCCGGCCCAGAGTACTGGGAATGCCTTTGGGAACACCAGCACTGAGTCTTGCATTAACAATCCCCAGGCCTCTCCGGAGTCCTGGAGCTGAATTGACGACCAGCGTGGTTTAGCAGCTCCTGGTGCTGACAGGCTGGGCCTGCTGGGCAGAATGAGTCCTCTCCCCTCTCAGGGCTGTTCCAGCAGTCTTTGTCCTGTCTGGTCCCTGGAGCCTGCTCCCCTAGAGCAGGTTGCTCCAAGCCCCTGTGTCCAACCTGGCCTTGAACACTGCCAGGGATGGGGCAGCCACAGCTTCCCGGCGCCACAGCCCCCTCACAGGGAAGAGCTTCTGCCTAAGAGCTCATCTCAGTCTCCCCTCTGGCAGGTTAAAGCCATTCCCCTTGTCCTGTCCCTACAGGCCCTTGTCCAAAGCCCCTCTCCAAGGTTTCTTGTGCCTCAGTTTCCCCCACAGCAGCAGCGGGGGTGCCGGTGCTGGTTCGCAGCAGGAGGCTCAGGGGGTGCCCAAGAGCCACGCTCGGTGCCGGCTCCCTGAGCCCAGCAGGGGCTGAGCCCGCCCTGCGCTCGGGGCTTCCCGCGGCAGCTCCGGCTGGGCAGGTTCCTACGGCGGAGCCGGAGCTCTGCAGGTGGGGAGCGGAGCCAGCCCAGGCGGCAGCGGCGGCAGAGCTGCGCTGGGGACAGCGGAGCTGCGCTGGGGGCACTGCCGCCTCTCCCCACGCTGCGTCCGGTGGCACAGAGGGGCTCTTGGTGCTCAGCTGCCTGCCCATGGCCAACGAGGAGGAGCAGCCGTCGGCTCTGTCGGATCACCAGGTAAATCCTGCGGGGAACCCTGTGCAGGAAGCTGGGAAAGCCGCTGCCTGGTGCTGCGGACACCATTCCCGGCCAAAGGGGGTTTGCTCACACCGGGGATTGGGGCCAGCATCGAGGGGGGCTGCAGAAAGTGCCCATGGCTGCAGGCAAAGGGATCCAAGTCGCTTGGGCAGGGCTTTGCCGGTTGGAACAAGTCCAGAGGAGGCCACGAGGATGATCAGGGGACTGGAGCACCTCCCGTATGAAGACAGGCTGCGGAAGTCGGGGCTGTTCAGCCTGGAGAAGAGAAGAGAAGAGAAGAGAAGAGAAGAGAAGAGAAGAGAAGAGAAGAGAAGAGAAGAGAAGAGAAGAGAAGGCTGCCTGGAGACCTCAGAGCAGCCTTCCGGTGTCTGAAGGGGGCCTAAAAGGATGCTGGGGAGGGACTCTTCATTAGGGACTGTAGTGACAGGACAAGGGGTAACGGGTTCAAACTTAAACAGGGGAAGATTAGATTGGATCTAAGGCAGCAGTTCTTCCCTGTGAGAATGCTGAGGCACTGGCACAGGGTGCCCAGAGAAGCTGTGGCTGCCCCATCCCTGGCAGTGTTCAAGGCCAGGTTGGACACAGAGGCTTGGAGCAACCTGCTCTAGTGGAAGGTCTCCCTGCCCGTGGCAGGGGGCTGGAGCTGGAGGAGCTTTAAGGTCCCTTCTGTTATAAAAACCTAGCCAATCAGTTTTAATTGATTTTTATTATAATTAATATCGAGAGACAATAAGCAAGGAGCGCTGGGTGCGCCAGGGGGTCTCTGCTCCGCCCGAGACACACACGGGGAGCTTCTGGGGATAGTCTCTTATACTTTTTGGTTTCCCGGGCTTCTCGGGTTTCAGGCAATCCCGTTGTCTTCTTTTCCAGGGCTTCTTCAGCCAATCCCGTTGTCTTTTTTTCCCGGGCTTCTCCACCTGTTGTTGGGGTCTTGTGTCCGGGTGAAGAAATGTTATGTCTATCACAAGTCTGACTGCCATCTTAGCCCCCATAAATTCCACTCCTTATGTATCTATTTTTCAGCGCACAGATTTCACGACGTTCTGTAGCAGGACATATCTCAAAGTTACCCCCCCCCCTTTCTAAGAACATTCATGCAATTTAAACAATGAACAAAACATTTCTTTGCACAATATTGCGGTTGACCCAGGGGAATTATTCCCTTGTTTCTCCTTCCTCCTCACTGTGGTATTGACAGGGACACTTATCGTACCCTTTGCACATAGCACAATGATCACAAGGGATTCCATCTCCACACGAAGTGCAATGATCACTAGGACCCCTGAGTTGCTGACACGAATCACTCTGACGTATCTCACATTTCCAACTCAAACCATTCTATGTGTCCGTCCCGGGTGCTGCTCCACTGTCTGTGCCTGACTCATTGGCTCTGGGAGCTCCAGCTCTTCCAGTCCCGCTGGTTCCTCCCTGGCAGCCACATGCTGTCGCCAGTGCAGCCCAGAGCAGGATGCAGTTTCCAGGCTCTCCCAAGCCCCGGGTGATGGAATCCTGGGTGCTGCAGTGCGGGCAGCTCAGGAGGAAGCAGCAGGAAACCCCTCATGCAGCCATCACCGAGGGGCCCGTCCCTGCAGCAGCAGTGTGCGGCCGGCAAGGAACCAGCTGATGGACCCTCCACTCACCACCAGCAAAGGGCTCCAGCCCCTGGGGAATTCACCTCTGCCTCGGCTCTGCCCGCTCTACGGTGAAGAGAGGCACCAGCTTCTTGATGCTGCTTCATCCAGGGATGCTCAAGGGTGCTGGGGCCCCGTATCCTGTGCCTGGTGCTCCTGCTGTGTCCCTGCCACAGGACCCTGGGGCTGGAGCTCATCTCAATCTCTCCTCCAGGTCTTTCTGCTGATGTGCATCTACCTGCCGGCCTCGCTGCTGAGGTGGGTGCTGCTGCCTCCCCCTCTTCCCTTTCCCCTCTTCCATTTCTTTCCTCTTCCCTTTCCTTTTTCCCTTTTCCTCTCCATCTCCATCCTGCCCCTTTCCCACCGGGAAGCCACCACACCGGGCACCATCATCTCTGCCCTGATGTGACACTTCACCATCAGCCCTATCTCTTCCAGCCTCCTGGGCAGTGGATCCGTCCTTGCTGTCGCCTCCTGGCGGAGGCGATGCTGCCACATCCAGGTGAGTCCCGCTGGCTCCCAGGGATGGGATTTGGCCTCAGCTGAGCCCCAGGGACATCCCTGCTGGGTTAATGCACGGTGGGACAGGGAGGGGAGCAGGGGGTGCAGGATGATGCCCAGCACCTAGCTCCCCACATACAGCCAGTGCCAGCCTGGGGAGAGACGTGGCCGTGGCAGCTCTTCAGAGCTGGGGTAATGCCTCCAGCCAGAACTAATGCTGCCCCTTGTCCCCTGTCCTCAGCTTCGTCCCCTTTGCCTCCTCGCCCTGGCAGATCTCCTGGCAGCTGCCTCAGTGCTGGGCACAGCCACCATCCAGGCGCTCCCAGCGCCTCTCTTCATCCCAGCCTATGCTGCCTGCCCCTATGGATGGATGCTGGCCACGGTAAGGGGTGAGCTCATAGCATGAGGATGGAAACACCCACTTACACCATCAGGAACAGACTTGTCTGCAGGCTGAACTGTCCCCAGGAAGTCCAAGGCTGGGGATTTCTGCTAATGAGCAATGGCCCCTGTTCCCTCTGTCACTTCCAAGGGGAAATGTGTCTATGCCCAGCCCCAGTGAGGGGAGTGCTGCATCCCTGTTGTCCCCTCCACAGCTGCTTAGTGCACAGGGTGGCCATCACAGTGGTTTCAGGCCTGCAGATGGGAGCAGAACCTGGTTCATGCCACTAGAGCCCAGCACAGGCACATGGCCCCAGGTGGTCAGTGCTCCCCCTCCTGATTAAGCCACCAGCCAGAGAGGCCACCGGTCCCCATCCCCAGGGTGGGCACAAGGACAGCACAAGCCCATTTACTCTTGGGGCTGTGGGTACTGGGGAGCTGCTCCTGTGTTGCTGCTCCTGGCACAAAGGCAGCAAGATGCCAGGGTGCAGAGCATGGAGAGCCTTTGGGGTACTGGGCAATACAGGGGCCCACTCTCTTCTTCCTCTTTCCTCTCCTCTCTCCTCATCCTCCCCTCTTCCGCTCCCTCTCCTGTCCCAGACGTTCTATGCAATCTCATTCCTGATGGTGGTTGTCTACGCGTTTGAGTCCTACCGCATGGTGCGTGGCTGGAGAGCCCGGCACGTGGCAGCTCTGCAGGTCAGTGTCACCTTCCCTTCCCAAGCACGGCCACTGCGGCCCTGTGTGAACCCGGGGAGCTGAGGGGATCCAGGACAGCCCCTTTCCCTGTGGAATGTGGAAGGGAAGTGGTTTCCCAGCACCCCACACCCTGGCGGAGCGGGGCTGGAGCTGGAGCTGCTGCAGGACCCACAGTCCCCGGTGGTCTCCTCCCTGCAGGAGGGAAGCGGGTGCCTTGAGCCTGTGTTACAGGAGCTGCCCTATGTCCTGGCCTGGTATGTGCCCTGGGGCCCTCTGCACCCCCAGCAGGGCTGTGGCACAGCACTGGCCCTCCTGGTTCGGGATGGGGTGGGACGGGATGGATGCGCTCACCTCACCTTGGCTTCTCCTGCGAGGCTGGTGCCGGCGCTGACGCTCCTAGGGCAGCTCATTGCCCGTGGTACATCTCTCACTGACATCGCACCGAGACACCTCGAGCCCATCATGCCACGGAGGGGCAATGGCTCCCACGAGACCTACAGCCTCTACTGCTCCAGGTATACTGCTGGGTGACCCTGGTGGGTTTGGGTGTGCTGCAGCCCTTGCAAGGCACACAAGGGACAGCTCTGGATGGTGAAGGCTTTGGGATGGGGATTAGGGGACCACCACCAGCATCCTCTGTCCTTTCAGCTGCCTGCTCCTCATCCACCGTGCCCAGGATGTCTGCTATGAGGTGAGCACTACTGCATGCCCGTTACTCCCACCATTCCCATTCCCCATCTGGCTGCCCAGCGCTGCCAAGGGTGGGTGGGCTCAGGACACTGGGAAGGCAGCAGGTCCATTGGGATGCTACTGGAGGGACATGGCAGGAATGTCCCTGCTCGGGTAGAGATGCAACTCCCACCTCCAGCAGTGCCCTGGTGCTGATGGCACAGCTCAGCCCTGCTCCTGTGGAAGGAGCTGTTGGGCCCATGGCCCCACTGGTTCCCCATTGCCTCCCAGTATGTCAGCAGGAAGGACGTGGGCCTGGAGGGGAAAATCATCTTCTTCTTGTACCTGCTGGTGGTGCTCAGCTGCTGCACGGTGAGCTGGGTGTGCAGTGGGATGCAGTGGGGTGCATTTGGGTGCACTGGGGTCCTTCCACAGCATCCAGCACATCCCGGGTGACCCTGTTCCTCTCTATCCAGCTCCTGTACCACAGGGTGCAGCGCAGGTGCCGGAGGGACACCATGGAGCCACTGCTGACTCTGGAGAGAGATGGCTTTGCGGGCAGGAGCACTCGCAGCATCAGCAGAGTCTCCCACTACTTCCAGCTGGTTTTTCTGCTTTGCTGGGCTCCAGGTGAGTCTGGGTGGGAATGTGCCACAGCTCCTGCTCCAGTGCCTGCACATTCCTGCGCTGAGACAGCTCCCAGGGCCAAGACAAGAGGTTTAGTGCAAAGCCTCCAGGTGTCTGTAGTACCCTCTGGCTGCACAGACACAAAGTGAGGGCTCAGCCAGCCCCAACCACCACGGAGCCCAGCCAACAGTTTCTTTATCCCACCCTGTTCTGACAGTGACAGGTTTTCCAACTCATTTCCTGAGCTGGAGGGTGGAATCTGCTGGACCTGATTTTAGGGATCTCTTTTCTCTTTGAGGCCCATTTATGCTTTCAGCCTTACAGAAACCTGTGGCAGTGAGTTCCCCATGTCCCTGGGCAGTGTGTTAGGAAGGAACATGTTAACATCCCATTGTGTGCTTGTCCTATATAGAGCCCATAGGAAATGGGCTATGACAGGGGAAAGGCATTTGCCACTTGGAGAGGGAAGCTCCGGGTGAAGTAGACCAAGGAACATCCTTTTGTCTTCCACCGCAGCCTTCCTCCTCACCCTCCTCTCCTTCACCAGCATCAAACCTACCTCGGTCTTTGCCCTCTACATTGCCACAGTAAGTAAAACCCATTTCCTGGCCTCCAGAGCTGGGACCTGTGTCCCCATCAGACGTGTGAGTGGTGAGAAGCCACCACCTGTGTTCCGGTGTCCTGCAGCCTGGGCACTCCCACAAGCTGATCCCATGGGAGCAAAAGCATGGAGGTGATGGGTTTGCAGCGCTGGCTCCTCTCTTGCAGGCCCTGAGCACCTCCCTGCAGGGCTTCCTGCACAGCCTGGTCTATGGGTGGCTGAGGCACAACTTCTGGCAGGAGGTGGTAGGCAAGAGCCTCTCCCTGCAGCACCCCCGGGGGCTCAGGGCATTCTATGATGAGTCCCTGGTGGCTGTTCCCTAAGGCTTCACCTCATCCCCATGCCTTCGCACTGCCTGAAGCCTCATCAGCATGTCCACATCCCTGTCATGGCTGGGCAGGAGGCCCCTGGCCTTGCCCCTTGGTGCTGAGCGTGGAGCAGGAAGCGCTGGGGATATGGGGGCTGCAGGGGCTCTGTCCCAGTGGGAATCCTGTCTGTATGCCATCGCTGTTGGAGGCAGCCCAATGTCCCATCACCTCCACTGTGCAGACAGCAAAACCGTGAGCAATTGCCACATGGGAGATGGGACAGGAGCTCTTGGGAAGAAGGATGCTCCTGTCCTGCACCATGAACAGGATACTCCTATTCTGCACCATGAATGACTTGGCTGTTGGCAGCAGGAGGGCTCTGTGGGCTCGGGAGCATCCTGCTGCTGTGGAAGGAGGCTGGTGGCACACAAACAATTGGTGATCCCTAGACCTTCCATCAGCTGAGCATCCGCTGTGACTATCCTAGGCAGGGTGGTGGGCATTTCTGTATCTGGTTGTGATGCTTCCTGCCAGAGAGGAACCTGAATTCCTCCACAGGACTTGGGAGAAGGTGCTCATAAATAAAGGTGTTATGGTTGAGGTGCTCCTGGGCTTTCCTGTTAGATAAGGAACAGGCTGCAATCAGGAAGCTCATGCTCCTTACTGCCTTGGGGGAGGTTCTTGCCCAAAGCCATGTCAAAGGGACTGCTCATTAGGGACTGTAGTGATAGAACAAGGGGTAACGGGTTCAAACTTAAACAGGGGAAGATTAGATTTGATCTAAGGCAGAAGTTCTTCCCTGTGAGAGTGCTGAGGCGCTGGCACAGGGTGCCCAGAGAAGCTGTGGCTGCCCCCTCCCTGGCAGTGTTCAAGGCCAGGTTGGACACAGGGGCTTGGAGCAACCTGCTCTAGTGGAAGGTGTCCCTGCCCAATGAACTTTAAGGTCCCTTGCAACACAAACCATTCCCTGATTCATTCTGTGATTCTATGAAAGAGCTTGACCTCCCTGGGAGGAATGCAAAGCTAAAAACACATCATAAAGAGCAATCACACCTGAAGGAGGATGCTTGGGTTGGGGAGGAATGGCTACGAGGTGGCAGGAAGGTGAGCATTACAAGATGGAAACCACACAGCATTTGCTTTGCTGATGCCTTGGCCCTGCCATGAGTTGGGCAGAGGGATGGGTGAGGGCTGAGCTGCCCTTCCCAGGGTTGGGTGTAGTGAACCCTATGGAGATGTCTGTGAAAGGGACAGGAGCCCCTGTGCTGACCCAGAGCCCCTGACAACATCTAACAGTGACTGAGCAACCACCAAGCCAAGGACGACCGATTCCACAGCCCTCTGCAGAGAAACCCCATTCCCAACCAAACAGATCCACCAAGACTCAAGCCCAGGACACAGCTTGGCTTCATTTGTTTTTTTTTAAACTAATGCTTTCTACTATACATTAGTGCTTTGGTCCACCACAGTCACTCCAGAGCTATCACACAGATGCACACCAACTCTATATACAGAATATACACTAGGAGTATTGTACAAGTTCCTTACTACAGGGAGGTATGGCTGTGTCTCCTCACGTGGCTGCTTCCAGGCTGGAGATGGTGGGGATCCCAGCAGCTTCCTGTGTTCCTGCACTGTCCATGCCTGGCTCTGGAGCAGAAAGTGCAGGAAGGATTCAGCCACCTCTGAGACTCACCAACATCTCCACAGCCCCAAGGCAGCAACAGGCAGAGGCCACCAGACAGCATCACTGCCACCACAAGCTGCTGACACCTTTGTGCAGGTCCTGGCTGTGATGCTGGGCTCTCCTGCCATGTGCATTCCAGGGCTTCTGACGGGATAGGAGTGCAGCAGGCTGCCAGACCCAGGGAAACAGGTCCTGGCCAGGCTGGTGGATGGAGAAACACAATTATAGAAGAAGCAACCAACCATGGGGTTATGGTAAATCCACTTCAGAGGCAGAGAGGTGGCTCTCTCAGGCAGAGGGCATCAGCAGAGCCTCCGGTCTCTTTTACATTCACCCTGAAGCACACACACATCCCTCTGTCTTCCCCAAGAGGTGAATGGGAGCAGAATGACAGAGCTGGGAGCTGGGTTGTGGTGAGGACAAGCTGTGGTGGAGCTGGAGGAGCTGCTCCCCGCTGCTCTTGGTGCAGGGCTCACACATGGGCTGCTCCCCGCTGTTCTTGGTGCAGGGCTCACACATGGGCTGCTCCCCAGGTGCCCACGTGCAAGGCTGACACAGGCTGCAGAAATGAGGTTCTCCAACACGTTTTATCAGCAAGGGCGCTAGCTACATTATCCCCGTGCCCAGCAGAGCTCCAGCTCTCTTGTACATTATTAGCGCACACAAACTTGATTTTCCAGGGTGAATAAATGACATTTGGAGGCCAGCTCCTCTCTGTGGAGCTCTGGGAGCTGCTTTCACACAGCACCCATTGAGATCCCTGGAGAGCTGATCCCTGCACATGCACCAGCCCCTTCTTCTTCTTCTCTTGTCTCTGCCTTGGAGGAAACAGTGTTCCATGTCCAGCAATTCATCCTCCCACTCCCATTTCCTCTCAGGCTCACGCCAGCATGAGTCAGGCTGCTGGATGGGTAGGGACAATTCTCTCACATCATTTCTGTGTGGGGAACAGCATCTCTCTCATTATAACCGTTCTGTGGTTCTGTGACTATCATCAGGAGCTGTCCTGAAACCAGCTGCCCCTACAAGGCTGGTCCTGCTCCTCCCAGGCACTGGAATTTGGAGAGCCCAAGCACCAGATGAAGATGGAGGTGTATACATGGGCAATGCATGTTTTGCACAGCCTATCACATGCTGCTGGAAGCCTGGCTGTCACTTTCTGATCTGACAACAGCCACACAGGGAGCAGTGTCCCATTTACAGCCCGTAATCCAGCTCTAAGAGCAAGACTAGGCAGAGAACAGTGCACATGGCTCCTAATCCTGCTACAGAGTTGACCCATATCACAATCCTACACGGTTGTGAGCAAGGTCCTGATTAGGGCATGTGGCTGGAGCAGGGAAGAAGTTTCCTTTCCAAACACAACTGCAGCATCCCACAGCTCGGAGTGGGGTGGGAGGTCCCTTCCCTGTCCCACAGTGTCCCTGCTCCATTCTCAATGGTGGTGCAGCACGGCCTGGAGGTCCTCGGGCAGGGAGCCGATGATGGTCTCGATGTACAGACTGACCCTCTGCAGTGTTTCCTCCTTCACAGGGAGGTGCTGACACCTGGCTCGGACCTGCAGGGAGACAGGAAGGTTAAAACAGCCTCAGAGTTCCTCCTTCTGCTCTGCCTGTCCTGAGCAAACTCCAGTTGTCTCTATGAGACACCAGACCCGCTGCCATAGATGGTTATGGAGACCGAAAGCTCAGCGGAGCTCAAGACCCCAGCTGGTTGCACCAGTTCCTATCAAGCAGGTTTATAAAGGACCCTCAAAGGTTTTACAGCCAGAATGTTTCAGACAGGTCACTCACCCAGGTGACTGGCAGATGGTGGCACTGCCTACCCTGCACTTGCACTGCTCTGAACTTCTCCTGTGTCCATTGACAGCAAGAGCAGGTAACTGAGGGTGCTGAGCCAGCCACACCTCAGGGATGAGCAGAATTTGCCAGACTGGGCTACATCGTTTCCTGCTACTATTTATCTCTATGTATGTCACTGACCCACATGATTACTAACCTCTGCCTAAGAGCTCATCTCAGTCTCCCCTCTGGCAGGTTAAAGCCATTCCCCTTGTCCTGTCCCTACAAGCCCTTGCCCAAAGCCCCTCTCCAGGTTTCCTGTAGCCCCTTTAGGCACTGGAGCTGCTCTAAGGTCTCTCCTTAAGGAGCCTTCTTTTCTCCAGACTGAACCAGCCCAGCTCTCTCAGTCTGGCTCCAGAGCAGAGCTGCTCCAGCCCCCGCAGCATCATTTGTGTGTCCTTTCCTACACAAATATTGAAGTTTCCTGACTGTCCCAATCTCCAAATCAGGGAACAAGAGCAAAGTTTTCTAAGCAACAAATGTTATCCATGTTCCTGGTCTCTCCCTGACACAGAGATACAGACAGAAAAGAGCCAGGGCAGGAAGAAGGGAGAAAAACTCACCAGCTTCTCACGAAGTTTTAGTACCAGGTCTACAATCTCCACCTCGGACTTGTCCTTCATCCAGGCTACAATGTTCTAAAGAGAGAGAACAGCTTTCTTTAGGGACATTTCTTCTTTACAGAAGCTTTTCCCAAAGAGATACCCCTAACAAAAGCCAGGAGGAGGATTCTCATCCTCTTTCACAACTCTGCTCACAGCACTTAAACCATAAATGAACAAGACTGAGCTCTCCCCAGTTTCCTAACTGTCACAGCATCAAGTTCTTGCCTGAGGAGAAGAATGAAGGGTAGATGCAGTCACACAAAGTCAGTGCAGGCTCCCCTCCTCCAGGCAGTACTATGAATCTTGTGCTTTGCTCACAACTGAAATTTGTTTGCCAGAATCTGGCCTGTTCATAAAAGGAGACAGCTTTGGCATTGCCCACACTGTGCTCAAGGACCTGCAGTAGAGCTGAAGATCAGAGAATAACAGAATGGTTTGGGTTGGAAGGGAGCTTAAAGCTCATCCAGTTCCAACCCCCTGCCACGGCCAGGGACACCTTCCACTAGAGCAGGTTGCTCCAAGCCCCTGTCTTCAACCTGGCCTTGAACACTGCCAGGGATGGGGCAGCCACAGCTTCTCTGGGCACCCTGTGCCAGTGCCTCAGCACCTTCACAGGGAAGAACTTCTGCCTTATGTCTAACCTGAACTTCTGTTTCAGTTTGAACCCACCACCCTTTGTCTTATCACTACTGTCCCTAATGAAAAGTCCCTCTCCAGCATCCTTGTAGCCCACTTCAGATACAGGAAGGCTGCTATGAGGTCTCCACGCAGCCTTCTCTTCTCCAGGCTTAACAGCCCCAACTTTCTCAGCCTGTCTTCATACGGGAGGTGCTCCAGCCCCTGATCATCCCCGTGGCCTCTTCTGGACTTGCTCCAACAGCTCTGCATCCTCCTTATGTTGGAGACACCAGAACTGCACCCAGTGCTACAGGGGGTCTCACAGAGCAGAGGGGCAGAATTCCTTCCCTTGACCTGCTGCTCACGCTGCTTCTGATGCAGCCCAGCACACTGAGGGGTGTCTAGGCTCAAGATGCACTTGGGTAAAATGCCAGAGCTCCAGGGACCTGAGCAGCTGCTCAGTTTAAGAAAGTGGACCAGCAGTCACTACTGAAAAACCTATTTTCATTAGGCATTAAGGAA